GGCGGGCGCATGCGCAGCCCGCGCGCCAGGCCCCGCCCCCTGCCCAGGAACGCTGGGGGTGGTGCGGACGTGTGTACATACTTGTGGATGTATGGGTGTGCTTAGTGCGTGCGTGTGCACTGACTCATGTGTGCACATGGATGCAATCGGGGTGCGTATAGATATGCACGTGTACACACGTGCTGCTTGCGTATTAGTGCATGTGTGCGTGTGCATAGGTGTGCCCTTAAGGGAACACACATGTGCGCGCACAAGTATGCACATGCACACACTTAAGGGCACACCCATATGTGCACATGCACACACTTAAGGGCACGCACATGTATGCACACACACATTCAGTAAGCAGGCACATGCAAATACTTAAGGGAACACACGTGCGCACACAAGTATGCACATGCACACACTTAAGTATTTGCATGTGCCTGCTTATTGAATGTGTGTGTGCATACATGTGCGTGCCCTTAAGTGTGTGCATGTGCACATATGGGTGTGCCCTTAAGTGTGTGCATGTGCCTGCTTACTGCATGCATGTGCATGTTCATATGTGCATGCATGGGTGTCCCCTTCAGTGTATGCATGTGCCTGCTTGCTGTGTGTATACATGTGCACACTTGCATGTGTGTGCATGTGCACACATGGCCGTGCCCTTAAGTGTATGTGCATATCCAAGTCAGTTAAAATTCCAAGACAAGGTGCAGCCCAAGCCTGACACTGAGGCCCATGCCACACGCTGCATATCTTACACAATCGGCTGGGGAATCAGGCAACAAATGTAGACTGGCCGCACTTGCAAAGTAATCACACCATAAAAATGGCCATCCAGCTACAAAAAGAGCCAACCAGCTACAAAGTTAGTGCTTGAAAGTGTGTAACAACATTATAGCTGGTTTGGAAGCTCCAAAAAAATACCCGACCTAGAGAAGTATCCAGACCAGCATGTTACACTGCCAAGTCCCTCCACCCATCGATCCAGCACTGTTTACAAGGGGGCAGAGTCCAGGCACCCCTCCGCTTTTCACGTGGCGCCCCTGTTATCAGCAGAGCACCAGTGCCCGCTCAGTCATGCTGCAGGGCCGGTTAGAATAGATCTCATACCCAGGTGGGTAAAGTGAAAACTCGGGCTGGAAAAAAAAAAGTGGAAGTTTCGCAAAGTTTGATCTGTGACAAGGTCCTTGACCCTGGTCACACGCGTCTCTGGCAGGGTCGCTTTCTGCACGTTCCTACCTAGTAGGAAAAAACGTCAGCTTAAAAAGAGCCTAATTTTGCAAGGCTCCAAAACCCACTGAAGTAAACGTAACAGATGCTCAGCAGTCTGCTACGGATCTGGCCCTTGCACCAGCATTAAAATAGTCTCTCTAAAGGGAGCAGAGCAACCCCACTCCTAAATGATCAGTCCTCTCTCCAACCCTCCATAGCACAACTACTCTGCCACAACCTGTGCTGCATTAGGAGAACCAATTTTTGCTGATATGGACGGTTGAAGGCAGGTTTCAGGTCAACATCCAAAGGATTAGGGAGTGACTCCCATCCCTACCCCATCCAGCTACTTCAATTCAAGTTAAATCAACTAGAAGTCAAACCAAACCATGTGCACCAGTGTTATTCCAGGGGGCATGAAGACAGACATCAATAAAACAACTACAGATCAACCTTTGGTATAGAATAAATCTCTATTTATTATTTACATCAAGCATTTAATGTAATGCCCTCAAATTAATCTCCCAATTAAATAGTACCTAAAATACCTGCTGCAACTCTAATTGCCTGGTTATGTTAAAAAAAACAAACCAAACCATATTTTTCTTCTGTAGCTCAATGGAAAAGCACCTAGGTCCAAATTAATCCTACATAATCCTGTATAACTCCACTGACTTCAAGTGGCTGCATGGATAAAACTGGCGTAACGGAGCAGAATTTGACCCCAATTCTATAGATCTCGTTGAGCTGTCCACTGGGACATACAAGGTTAAGGCCACAGGCATTAACAGAATACAACTATACTATCACTATTCGCATGATAATAGTGTCACCTCTGTTATAGGACTAATCTCAACATGGAAATGAATGTGCCGAATTTAAACATTTAAGTGATCTGGGCTTTAACTTGGAGAAGCGCAGAAAGAATCACACATCTCTTCCCTCCTTCCTCCACCAATGTCTGCATTTGATCATACGACTCGGTATTTTCCACGTGTTTGGGATCACATTCACACAAAGCAAGGCCCGGCTTGACAAAGCCTCGGGGCTGGGATGATGTAGTTGGGGCTGGTCCTGCTTGGAGCAGGGGTTGGACTAGATGCGACCTCCTCAGGTCCCTTCAACCCTCGTTTTCTAGGATTCTCTGATTCTGTATCAACCCCCAGGATGTCCTGCGAGCTGGAAGTGGGTGGCGCTGGTCTATCATTACACACCGACGTACTCTGCCGCTTACTGACCTTCTAGGTTCTTTCTAATCAGGCCATCTCTGCATGGGAAAGCCATCAGCTATACAAGGTGTAATCCCCCAGCGTGAACACTCTCGGCATAAGAGAGTGGCTTTTTTGGTACAGTTGAAACCCTTCCCAAGCAACTGTAATCTGAACCAAAAAGAGCCACTCTCATAGCACAAAAGGGGAGGTCACACCAAGCCAATTCAAATAGCTTAAATCTGCAACTTACTCTGGACTGAAAAAGCATCCCCCCCAGAGATGAGACCTCCCTGCCGAGCCCCAGACTCTAAACGTTCTCTAATAGCCTGCGTTATGACACGGGATTCACTGAGCCATGGGATGAAACCTTGCCATCAAGGGTCAGAGCTGTCTCCTAT